ATATTACTATTTGGTATACACAATAAATCATAAAAAATATTCATATCAATTTAAATTGTTAGCTATTTATGCATTTATACGACGAACCTATTCATATTGTTCTAATTAAAATCAAGCTGTAGTAATATTAAGTATTTAATATACTAGAAATATAACAGTATACTAGTACATAAGCACTAGAATAATAATTATTTAATGAATGCGTATATTTTAAAAATTAGTCAATACAACTAATAGAAATAGAAAGTGATGTAAATGGTAAGTAGGCACGTAATAATAAATTCTTATAAATATTATAGGATAATATGCTGTCATCGCTTAGAATCGTTCTTTGCATACAAAATAAAAACAATTTAGCATATTCATCAAGACAGTGACTAATCAATGACGATTAGTACACTTGGAACTTACTATACAGCAGAACTGCCCTACTTGGTTTATTGAAATTGACTTACTTTACATGTTTTGGAATATTTTCGTGTGTTTACGATGTTTATTGTCTTCGATCTATAATATAATACATACGAGGTCACTTAAATCCTATTAAATTTAGTACCTCTTTAAATTCAGTCAACAGTATACGAGTATTAAAACTGATTAACGCAGTAAAGTAATATAAATATTTGTTTACTTGTAAATAAATAAATAAACAATAGTACAAAACAAAAATAATCAAGAGTTGGTCCAAGTAGATAATATAATATACTTTCCTATATAATAATAAAATATTGCATTGTGAAAGTTTAAATGAGTTTAATTCATGAACAACATTTTACAGCTGTATTTCTTGTCATGGACATTTTTACCTTGAAAATAATTGAATTAAACAAAATAAAAGTTGGTGGTTCAAAGTTTTTTTTTTGACAATAATTTTCGTACCCAGATACTCAGAAATCAAAACAATTATTTAAGAAATATTTTCATCGACTGTTGTACTATCACTAATGACACACCAAATAACACATTATCATAAATGTAGTAATTATTACAATATATTACAAAATATCAAAGCTTAGATCATACAAAAAAAAAACCAACCAATTTTTTTCTCGCTTCAAGTTATAACGTTGAATCATACACATATAATTTTTTTTTCGTGGTCCCTATTGTATTGGCTATTCGAATTTGTTAGGTAAACAATCAGTAAATATCGATTAATCGATTAACTTCTGAACACCGACTATCATTGTTTGGTAATTTAACAGTAAGAGAAATAAAGTCTTTCAGCCAAAAACATATATAATTTTATTGTATAAATATTAAAAAAAAAAAAACATATACAGTAAGACCCACTGAAGACGCTCTTCGAAGACCATTTATCTATAGCATCTTATGCGTGAATCGAAAAAAAAATAAGTGATTAAAATATCGAATTTATTCTTACATATTTGTACTATTGCACATAATTTAACGGACAGTACATTTATTAATCATTTTTGTTTGCTTATATCTTAAATAATATATAAATATCATAATCGTGTGTCCACAAAAACAGGGTACACAGAAAAAGTATTAAGTTACTGTACACTCGCAAAATACAAGCTTTCAAAAATGTGCAAGTTATGGGAATTTATGATCCAATAGTTTGGTCTCGTGTTCCGAAAACGGAATTCAAATATATGTATTATGTATAAAAGGTACTGAGTGATATAAAGACCTAACTCACGTATAGAGTGTAGCGTGTTTTTGAGGGCACATACGGTATGTATTTAGAAAAAAACATGTTATACGTCTTTAAAAAAAATATTCACACACACAATATACATACATCGTGTACTGCGGTTATAACTGTGTTGTACGATTATTTTAATTTTTGCAATAATCTCATATACCCTCCTAATACTGCGCGTGCACGGGACATAAAATATATGTTATACTATAAGGTTCTTCTGCGTCATTATGCTAAAGTCAGGCGGTCGATTAAACATCAAACGCCAAAGTTGTACGCGTTTTCAAGACTTCGAAACGATAACGTGTAATATTATTATATACGTAAGAAATAACCCACGGCACCGGTGTAATTCCTAACATGCTGTTGAAATGTACCCGGTTTAATCATGCATATATGTATATTGTATACAGTTAAACGCGTATATCTTTGATGTGATGATGTATAGTAATTATTATTACAACTTTAACAGCTAATATTATTCTGAAACGCTTTTGAACAGACCGAACTGTTACTTCGGATACGATTCGCCCCACGTGTGTGTACGATTCGCGTCATAATAATACGTCTTACTTAATGTATGTATCGCTATTTGGTATTTTCCGAATGAACGCGACAAAAAAAAACAGTAGAGATAATCGTTGAAAAAAAAAAGAATCACTGATGCTTCATCCTGAACATCCAAACGATTATATTATACGCGTTTTTGCCTGCATTGTAATCGTTAAGTCCAATAATCTCGATCAGCTTTTATTTCACGAAAATGCGTATTGATCCCTAGGCACCGGGCTATTTCCTAAAACTCTGCTGAAATGTACACGGTAATCATGCAAATATGTGCACACTGAAACGCGCATGTCTTTGATGTGATGTATATAGTAATTATTATTTCAACTTTAACAGCTAATGTTATTCTGAAACGCATTTGAACTGCAAACCAAACCGTTACTTCGGATGCGATTCGCATCATAATAATATGTACTCATGTGTTGCTGATTGGTATTTTTTGAACAAGAAAAGAAACAGTTTATTCGTTGAAACGAAAAATCACAGATAAATGAGAATTCGACATAAAAATCCAAACGGTTATACGCCTTCGTCTGCTTTAATCATTAAATCCAATAATCTCGATCCGTTTTTATTTTACGATAATGACTATTGATGGGAAATTGAACCACTCGCTGCGTATTCCGACCTACTGGAGCCGCCTCGCCTATATAACCCGGTAACCGCGGTATCCACGTGATATATAATAATCGTCAAAACGATCTCTTGCTAAAAATAAAATAAAAGATATTTTTCCCGGAAATCGTTATAAGCGACGCGCCGGTGCAGAGACTTAATATGCTAAAAAGAAAAAAAAATATATATATAAAAGATTATCATTATTGTTAAAATGCATTGCAAATATATTCAAGCAGGCCACTACTGCAGTATATATATATAACACCATAATATTATGCGGACGGAGATCGATCGACTGTCGTCACGACGGAAACTAACGGGACATTATACTAAACACTAACTGGATCAGCGGTACGATGTGCATCCGGGGTGACTAAAGGGACTTGTTGGGGCGAAGGCGATTATTCGCAGAACCCTTGAAACCAAAAAATAAATAAAATGAATAAATACCTCTTATACGCTATAAATTTTCAGACGTCTATCTTCGGTATTTTTGGGAAAAAAAAAATCCTAAAATCGATTTGATTTAAAATATTCATATCTGTATGTCTAACTGGGTGTAAAGAGTGTACATATATATATATATATATACTTAAAAATATATGCATACGATACACATATTTTATCATATAGACTTGTTATGGTAAAAATAAATAGCCAATTTTCGATTATTCTCGATCAAAAAAACGTCTTAACTCTTATACATACAGGTCAGAGTTGAGTAAACTCGAATAACTTCTTGAATTATGTAATCGGTATAGTAAATGCTCCTCGCTAGTCCTTAATCGGGGCAAGATTCCAATACGAGTTGATTTTGTCTTGGTTTAATCTGCAGCTCGTGGGTACTATTTCCGATCGATAAATTAAAATAAAACAAGATAATATTATAATTAACATAATATTATATAATGCATTTTATTTGTATACATCGTTAGTTGGATAGCTGCCCAACATGCACGTGATTATAAACTATGACCAACAAAATATTTTTAAAAGCAAGAGCTTGGTACAGCTCGTAGCTGATTATCGTAGCAAACGTAACCAGCGGCAACGTGTTAATCGAATTAAAAGACGACTGATGTTTGATACCACCGACTGATCACCAATTTTAAAATGCATCTGTTTAAAAAATGAAAACGTATATTCGAATTTACTCGGTTCCCGGAAATTGTACCAGAGACTTGCGCTGCCCCGGTGCAGAGACCTCAAATCCTAAAACGACAATCATGCTAGGGTGATTTATTTTTATCTGTTTTTCGACTCTCCTTTTTTACGTACACGTCAGATATCATAATATATATATATGCGCTATTATTGTTATATACATTTTGTGGACGGCCTACAACGCGACTGTATAAATGTTTAAAAATAAGATTATTATTGCCGAAGGAATGTCGTCTTATCGTCACGATCTTTTCACAGCATTAACCGCATAATATTCTACGAATAAACGATATTATGCCGACCGAGATCCATCATCGACTGTCGTAGCAAACGAATGCGGACGAATGGTCTTTAATATATTATATAAAATATCACACATTATTTAACTCGGGAATATAGAAATACGGTAGTCACCTTAGGTATACTATAGGTAAGTATAATATAATATACCGTGGTCACACGTTTATCATAATATTATATTGTATTAAGTATCCCGTGGTTTAAACTTTACGGCAACGACGAAGAAAATATCATATCGGCCAAATAAGGGTTCTGCGATTTTCATTTTTTTTTTTTTTTAGTTTGCAGATATAAATATTTTAATACACCTACAGAGACTAACGGCAGTAATATGAATTGTTTATGTAGAATTGCATTACTGCTGCAGTACCTATATGGTACTATTATATAGTACCTATGACCATATGAGCATATTAATACGGTATTAGTGGTACTACAACTGTATCAATAACTCTTTCAATGGTATCAAATGAAAGCAGACATCAGACTGCCACATTGAACTGCATAAGATATACTTCACAAGAAAGAATGCCAAGTATACATTGTCCTACTTACAGTATTTGGGTATTTTATTGTTTTTCGTTCACTTAATTGATTTTTACTAAGTTAATTTGCACTGATGTGATAATTTCAAGCGTTTTAAAATGAAGGTATAATAATAATGTATATAATTCATACATACCCCGATGGCAGATATGTAATACGCAATTTGTTGTAAACTTGTATTTTATCTGTAAAAAAAAAATGCAATTTAATTTTAAAAATGTATGTATTTTGGTTACTAGGAACAATTGTTATAATGAAACCGAGATTGCCTATTTTGGAGCTCAGTTATATAAACTAATTAATAATATTTAAATAATTAGACCATGCATTCGTTAAAAAATATATCTAAAGACGAATAATTAATAGGTACGAAATAAAATAATTATTGAATTTGCGATGTTGAATTAATGAGGTTCCTGTAGTCAGAGGTTGGAGTACTGTTAAGCTCCTTAAGCCCTTTAGCTCCGGGCAGAGCTAAAATCACCAACAGCATAATATCAGGAATATCACCACCACGACGTCGTTTTCCGGTCCTCGTCCAACTAAATTGGGGGCTCATATTTAAAAGGAAAGCCGAGCACATGTACTGGTTTGTTACGCCTATTATAATTATTGTAGGACTTTAACGACCCTCCGACCAGCGCTCTTTAGCCCACTTCTACTTCATTATCCGGTTTCCCGTGGCTAAACCACTTCCTTTATTAGTATATTGTTGCAACTGAACTATGTCGTCACCATAACTTTTAAACAAAATGCATACTTAACACCCATACAGTCGTCTAATAAGAAGACTAGGTGTTGAAGGAGGCAGTATTAGAGATGAGAATTGACTGTCCAGTAAAGAGTAATGTAGTTAGTATTAACTTAGGTCAATAATTAAATTACATAAAGTTAGACTGATTAGACTCATATCCATCGCCTAAGTTCTATACCACGACGAGGCCCAGGTAAAACAAAGGGAAACTTCGTTAGTATGTGCGAAAGGGGACGTTAAATATCAAAGACCTATACAATTCCTATTTATTTTTGCATTGTATCGAAAATACGAGTGAATACGTTTTTATTTAGCAGAATATAATATACGGTTTACTGTAAATATGAAACATATAGAGAGATAAGTACAATAATTTAAAGTTATTTATATGAGAGTGCTAGTGATTCAAGTTCATATTTTTCTTCATTGAAGTTGATTTTGATATGTATCCAAAATATGAAACTGAACCCAGGCTATAATAATTGCATTTTTATGGCTACATTTGTGATTCATTTCATTGAGATAGAGACTGGGGGAACTGGTCAACCTAGACGATTAAATGGTTTATATTTTGCCATCCGTTAATGTTACATCAGGTTCCGAAGACATTGTTCACATATTAATCGAATCAACCAACAAATATTATGGAGAAAATGCGAGTAGACATTTTCGATCTAATAGAAAATGTGCCCGAGGTTGCACACTTAAGCCAGTAGATTACAACGAAGTCAAAGTATTTTCCTTTTCGGAGGAGCTGTTAAATTTTAGTCATTCGAGTTGATATGTTTTCACATAATCCATTATTTTATCGTCCAATTTTTTAATCACATTACGTTTGGCAGAAGATTGTCTAAGATACACAATGCTTCCAATATATTAATAGTCTTAAGAATGAGAAATTAAATAATGTCACCAATTGTTAAAATACAACCAATATATTTGATATTCTACCTGGAGACTTAAGGAGAGCTCGAAGTTCTCTGAATTATTAAAATATAATAGATTACCAATCGATCATTTATCCATCAATGAATCTTTACTGTTACTATTACCATGGTTGATCTAAAAATTCAGGAAATGTATATGAATAAAAACTGATAGATGTATAGTATTTAATTTTATGAACTCATTAGCATACTATGTTTAAAATATTATGTTCTTGATTTCAGTGAATGAAACTAATTTTATGTGTGTAAAAACATTTTAACACTTCCGAAAAAATAAATTCAATAATTTCTTGATTTACTAATAAACGCATTTATGAAGTATAGAAAGAAAATGGTCGCATCAAACAGGCTATTCGCATTGAATAAAAAACAATCATTACCTTTAATAACCAATTACTTTCAATAAGAAATTCCACTATCAGAGCATAATAAAAGAACTACTTATTTTTAAAAAAAATGCAGTACTCCAGACAATCAAAACCATAAAACAGACATCTTTTCATGCAAGCAGTGTGCAAAATCATTTTCTGCGGGGCATTCTTTTTATATTTACCACAAAGAATTATTATAAAACTGAAGAAGACTTTGAGAGTTAAGTTTGACGTCTTTATGTTTTTTAATAAATAAAATAAGGTACATTCTTATGTTAACTAGTATTATAATAATACAAATATTGTTAGCTTTTTCAGTTTAATCGAAATAAAAGTATGGATTTTTTCGTTTTAGATTACGAATTTTTTTATAATTTATGTACATTGTATTCAAAAATATTGTTACTGCATAACAGTAATGCCAAATTAATGCCCAATTTAATTATAGCTCTTTCGATATACGCATAACACTACTGCTATGGTATTAATAATTTTATTTTTCATCACTTCACTTTAATGGCGATGATATAATATTGCATTCTAAGTTTCTGACTATGGAAATTTAATTAATGGTAAGACGTGTCCGTCGATGTCTAAAATAGTAAAATGTACGACAATACGGGCAAGGTGACATAAGGGTAAGCCTCACAAAAAGTACAGCTTTGTACAATAGTATATAGTTGTCAAAGTCTGTAACGATTGATTTCTATCTCATTTCCTATTTTTATGTGCATTAAATAATAAAATTGAATTATTAAAATGCACCTAGGTCGACACTTTTTCAGCGTCAACTCTAATATTCACACTCAGCGATGACGTATTATGCAGACCCAGATCCATCATCTATAGGGTGACTTATGGCGAAACGGATCGGACAATATCGGTGACTGGACATCAGCGTGCGATGCAAACGCATTGTATGTAGGCGTAATACCGCACTTCCCCGGCGGTGTCCATAGACCTGGACATCAGGGGAGCGATTGGTTATGTGGAGGTGGTGGTATGGAGACGATGAAATTGGTATAAGATAAGTGGACGGTGTATTTTGTGAATGATATGTAGTTAAAATAGTGTGCCCACCTGCAATACGAATATTAATGATATCTGCAGCATTAAAACAAGGTGTGTTAATACATATTTCCAATGATATTATAAGATTGTGGTTGGCGGAGTGTAGTAAACCGAACAGTATCGTTTTACTTAATTGTTAAATATTTGAGATTTGGTGCAACTATTCACGATTACTAAACACATTCGAGGCAAGCCCTCGTACCAGGTAGAATCTTCACATTCCCAATATTAAATAACGACAAGCGGAAGTCAGATCACAGAGATGCTGTATGTTACAATGTTCAATAACAAATTCGGGGAAAACGAGGTTGTCGATTCCCAGAATCGCCACATCCGCCACAAACCAACAATAACGAGTTAAACCACACAAAGACGCCAAAGGATGTTCTACAACGAAACACCTCGTCTGTCTTCTTTGATCATCTCGTCTCCCTCTGTACCTGATAGTAGCTAGACAAGACTGCGTATGAATACGGGCCGGATACGCATGCGCGAATCAGAATATTATTAGTACACCATCGCAACTCACAGCACTTACTCGTTGGCCGTCGGGCCGCATCCTGACATCAACAGCACTCCAAGCCCATTCCCAGTACTCTTCGGGCCTACTATTACACAATTGGTCGTTGGGTCATGCCCCAACATTGACGTCTGCAACTGAGTCCAGAACCCTAGTGCATAACATTAACGTCACTCTACTAATATCAGCTACGGTAGAGTTCTTCGACTGTCTCACACGATAATGTCGCAGCTTAAAACAGATACTAGCATCACATCAATCGGCACGCAGTTGTTTTGTTTCAATAAACATTAACTTCCTTCGTGTCCCGCAAACGTCCCGGAAGTATTTTAAAAAAGTGAGTGATCATCACTATACTGGCCGGCGGGTGAGCAGCACGAATAACACGGGGTGTTCGGTTAATCTGGTAACGATTTAAGGAACTGCGGCGGCGGCGGCGGCGTATACGAGTGATAATAGAGTGGTTTTACACGCCGCTCGGTGGTGTTTAGTGTTGGGGTTGTTTGTGTAGGAGTGGGGGGGGGGGGGGGGTGCGGATGGGGGTGGTAAGTGCGCTGGCGAATTATTTTAAGCGCTCGAGTTATTTCGCCACCGGTTCATTTAACGAGGCAACCGGAGAAAACTTATTTCATTAGGGACAGCGCGTGTCCCCCCGGCCCCGCACCTAACCCAACCGACCGCGTGAGAGTGTCATGGTGATTTATTCTCGAGTTTCGAATTATTCGTCGGCAACGGTGCCGGCGCCCGCGCAAAACCCTATACTTTGTCTAGTGGACCGGTGCCGCCGCTCCCGAAAAGCATACATGTATATTACACCTATATTCCGCCAACACACTATGTGAGTATGTGTGTACTTATAGTTACGGGGCCGTGTAGGCGTGTGTGAGTGCGCGTGAACATATTCCAGGGCGGCGGACAAACGGTCGATCGATCGATCTATATTTAGATAGTCAGGCGGCCGGAACAAGAAGTTAACAGCTAACCGAAGAGTAATAAATTACGTCTGGGACCCTTTAAAACTTCTAACTTAAATTCTCCAAGAGTACGCCGAAACGGCGAAACGTCGGTTGGCATTTTTCCCCTTTTGCCACCACTGCTCTGCCGCCGACGTGGCGTATGCGTATACGACCTTGTACACGCACAAAGTCGCGGCGGACACGATATCGCGACAGAAATATAAATTCTCACTTCAAAGGACGGCCGAATACGCGCGAGCTTATTCCGGCACGCGGTCGTTATAATTCACAATATAATAATAATAATAATAATAATAATAATAATAATAATAATAATAATAATGTACAAAGGGAAACAATATAATAGCCCTCTGCCCACGGCTGAAGCGTGTAGCGACAACGACGGGGCGGTGGAGGAGTAAAAAAAAAAAAATTAATGATAACGACTTAAATAAATATAATATAAACAAACAAAAGTGTACCCATCGAAATGTCCTGCGTCGATTTCAATCGTGTTCCCGTCTCGGCCGTATTAACAATAATAATATTATACGTCGTGTGTCCAG